CTCTGCCTCCCGAGTGCTGGGATTAAAGGCGTGCGCCACCACCGCCCGGCACAAGGCTGTAAAATTTCTAAGCAGAAACTTTTTTTAAAGGCAAGGATAAAGTGGGATAATATATTCCACAGGTGCCAAAAGAGAAACCTGCAAACCAAGATACTATACTCAGCAAAGCTATCCTTTAGAAACAAGATAAAAATTTCCTCAAACACACACTGTAAGAAATATAGAAATAGAAAAATAGAAAAACAAATAGAAAAAACACAGAAGATACATGAAACAAAAAATCAAAGGTGTGAGTGGGTTGAACTCTAATCAGAAGTTACAGGGTGACTGTACTGATTTTTTTATTCCAACTACAAACGATTCACTTTAGCTTTGAAGACAGAGACTCTAAGAGGATGAAAAAATACTCCATAAGAATGGTGACTAGACAGAATAATAGAATGTAAATTAAACACTGTTGCCACAGACAAAGAAAGTCATCACTAATGATAGAGTGTATTTACAAAAATGTTAGCAGGGTCAGCAAGATGGCCTGACTGTAAGTTCAGTCCACAGGACCCACATGGTGGAAAAAGAGACCAGCTATGGAAGGTGTCTTCTGATTTCCACACAAACTGTGGCACATGTGTAAGTAAGTGCACACTCACTAAAATAAGTGTTCAAAATTTTTTGAAAATAAGTTAACACGTGTCTAAAGTAAGTAATAGAACTGAAGGAAGAAACAGCAATATTATAACCACAGCGGCCTTGAACCCTCCATGCTCTGCAGTGGCCGCATCATTAGGTAGAAAATCAGCCAGCTGTATAAACTACTCTATCTAGCAACATACCAACCTTCCACAGAAACTCAGGATGACGCCTAAAATTAAATACCAGAAACCCACCTTCCTTCACAGGTGAAAGATGAGGAGACTTTGTGTGGTCTGAGACATTATGATATAACAAAAGTCAAACTAAATCAAGAGCATTGTGCTGAGTGGAAGAAGCCTGTTACCAGGGTTATATTCTGTAATGCTGCATTTGACATTTCTAATAGAGAAACCATTTAATAAATAACAAGTCCTTGGTTGTTAGGACCTGGGAGAGAGTCTGATAATAGTTGACTAGTCCTGGGACTTAGGGTAATGATAGAACTGTTCTGTATCCTGATTGCAAAAGTCTTTACATGAGCCTATGCTTGGTTTAAAATGTATATACCTGAACACCAAAAGAAATAACAGTAAGGTATTCTATGTATTAGTGTGTGTTATCAGTAAATTCTATTAAACATCCAAGGACATAAACATTATAGTCTCAGCACTAAGTTCTTCAAAATCAATATGAGAAAGATGATCACCCACCTCTTTAAGGGACTGCCATACCTAGAACCAAATAAAAGAAAATAGTCCAAACACAGATACCAAAATCCCAGACTAAATATTAGCTATGCAATATATGTACATGAAAAACTTGAATAATTTTACAGGTGTTCAAAATGAGAAAAGTATGTGCATGTACATATGTGAATGCCATATCAGAATAACCTGTGAAGGAGTTTTTAATTGTCACTGTAACAGACTTCAGAATAATCAAATACTATCTCAACGAAGAAAAAGGGTTAGTAAAATTTAGTGGCTGTCATAAAAGCAAACACCCTGGGAATAGTGAGCACTCCCTTGTCTAACAAGAGCACATCTTTATGAACAGAAACAAACTAAGGACATCCATTGTTATTACTGTGTCAACCCTTTGGTGAGGTGGTCTCCACTGTAGAAGACTAGAAAGTCAGTCAATAGAGGTAGGAATTTGAATGGGAAAAGCTATCATTTACAAATGATAGTTACACATTTAATAATGAATCTACAGATAAGTAGATATTACAGTGAGTAAAGTAATTTGCCAAGTTTTTTTTAATACAAGATAATAAACTGCTGGGGATATAGCTCAGTGGTAGAGGAATTGTCTAGAATATGTGAGGCCCTGAGTTCAATCCCCAGTACTATAAAACAAACAAAGTAATAAACTGAATTTAATCTCCATACATGAGTAAGAGCTATAAAGTAATATTAGGTGTGTATGACCACAAGAGAAGATGATAAGGTTTTAGTGGTGGGTATTAGAGGACACCACATGAGTGAAGAGCATTCTATTCATGGAACAGATAGGTTTAACTTACCTCTAGACTTGCTTTCCATGTTACTGATGCTCCAGGGATCCTTCTCATGTGCCATCTTCCTGAAGTTGCTGTGTCCCTTCATCTTCTCTGCTGCAGAACAGGGTCCCGTGACTGATGGTGTTGAGTGGAACTGGTGAGGTGCCTTGTAGAGTACCCCTCAGTTTGAGGTTGTCTGATTTTTCTTGTAATTGGACAGGGATGTGGAGTTTGGGAAATAACACAGTAGTGAAGTATCCTTCTTTGACTTCATATCAGCCATACACAATAGCTGCAGGGCATCACTGTAATCTTCCAGCTGTTGTGATAGGAACAGCCAGAGGCTAAGAAGCAGAAAGAGATTAAAGGCAATGAAGCCAGAGTGGTAATGAAATTCCATAACATCTAAGGATCTGAAAAGTATTAGGAGCACTTTGGTTTTCATTTGCAGAGGGAGGTGTGAGGAGACTGCAGATAGAGTAGTGGCGTGCTTTGCTGTAGATGCTGTGTCACCAACCTGACAACAGGAAGGGAGGCAGCAGCGTAAATGCAGATGGAGAGCCACAGCTTGAGTCAAGATGATGGCTGGCGAGAAGGTGAGAAGGTATAGAATTGATTGTGTTTTTAGAGGAAGTTTTACAAGATGTGATCTGGAGTAAGAGAAGAAAGCTTAAGATGATCCCATCTCCATTATTTGTTGAAATTTGAAGGAAACCGAAGGATGAGATGTTCATTACTCTCAATCTTGTTGCAATCAAAATTCCATAGTTTCATTTTCGTGTGTGTGTTCATGCATGGGTGCACATGTATGTGCAGGTGCTCGCTCACACAAGTGTGTATCATGTATGTGGAAGACAGAAAGTGGGTATCTGGTATTTTTCTTTATTGCTTTCCACCTTTTCTTTTGAGATGGTCTCACTTGCTGGAGCTCACTGGTGGATTGGGCTGGCTGACCAGTGAGCTAGGGATCTGGTGGGCTGGGCTAGCTGAACAGTCAATGAGCTAGGAATCTGGTGGGTTGAGCTGGCTGACCAGTGAGCTGGTGATCTGGTGGGCTGGGCTGACTGACCAGTGAGCTGGGGATCTGGTGGGCTGGGCTGACTGACCAGTGAGCTAGGGACCCTTGTGTCTTTGCTTCTCCTAACCCATCAGTGCTAGGATTACAGATCTGCCACTGCATCCAGCTTTTACATGGGTACTGAGGGTCTGAATTCAGGTCTTGCTCAAGCGGTGTTTACCCTTTGAACCATCTTAACTACCCTTGTGTTTTGTTTTTTCCTGATTCCATCATTCATCATGACTTCTGAAATATTTGC